AATTTCTCACCCCTGTTCTAGAGTCCATTCAACAGTCGTAGAACATATTCAGTAGTAGGAGTAGTGTTTGAACATTCGCAAGATGAGCAGACAAATCAAACAAGGGGTACATATAATATAATAATCTTATTATGACGGGTGATTACAGAGGATGGTTGTGCGTAAAAATAAGTATCGGTCGTGGCTACCACTACAGTACTGTTTTTACCTGGAGATGATGGGTGATACATCAATCATCCATCCGCACAGGTGTCTCAACTCAACTCAACTACTGGTGCTGACTGCTAATGAGAAGCGCTTAATTCAAGCCGGCGCGGCTGCTCCGGCCGGCGGCGAGCCTGCCGAGCGCGCGGCGGCTCCGCTGCCGCTGCTGCTCGTTGTTGTTGTGGTGGTCGTCGCAGGGCGGCGGCGGCGAGGGGCGGAAGATGGCGTCGAGGTCGTCGAAGCGGAGGCTGATGACCTCCACGCCGAAGAGGCGCTTCCGGCAGGCGGCGTCGGGCTGCGCGCGCGGCTTCCGCGGCGCCGGCGGGCAGGTGGCCGCCTGGCCCAGGCAGCCGGTCCCGGCGCCCGCGGGCGTCCGGCAGCAGCGGTAGTAGCCGTCGTCGCCGTCGGATGCTTCTGCGCCGGCGCCGGCGGCGAGGAGGTGCAGGCGCGGGGAGAAGGCGTCCGCCGGCTTGAAGAACTCGGGCGAGGCGGCGGCCATGGGTGGACGGGGGCGGAGGAGGCGGCGATGGGTTGGTGTTTGAAAGGGATTTGAAAAGCGGGGGCTGCGGCTGGTGCGGGTGCGGGGGGGCGAGGGAAGCGCGGCGTATATGTAGCGGGGGGCGGGTCGTGACGGGTCAGACGGGAGTGGGAGGTGTGTGCGGGTGTGAAACGGGATGGGCCCCGGTGGGCAGACGACGCGTATCGCAGAAGGCAACCGGCCGACCCGACCCGGGAGGGAGGAAGGAGCTGGGAAATCGGGGCGGCTTTCCTTGTCCACCTTGCCGCGTACGATAGGCTTCTTCGCCCCGAAGGGACAGCACAGCACCTTTTCCCCCGGCGACGTGCACCATTTACTCCATCCGAGGTAGCCACCTACTGGATGACGACGCCTATGGCCGTGGTTGCTGCAGGCAGGCCATCTTCAACAGTTGTATGATAGGCATCGGTTAATTTGACACGTATGTCTTAGTGATAATGTGGAGAAAGAGCAAAATTGTATTTAGATTAACCAACAACATTTATACAAGCTCCAAGTTGAAATAAAAAGCAATCACATTTATTTTCTTATCATCTACTCCCTCCGTTCCTAAATATTTGTCTTTCTAGAGATTTCAACAAGTGACTACATACGAAGCAAAATGAGTGAATCTATACTTTAAAATATGTCTATATACATCCGTATGTGATAGTCTATTGAAATCTCTAAAAAAACAAATATTTAGGAACGGAGGGAGTATTGGATAACTTAAATACAATCTATTGGAGTAGTTGTATGATAATTTGTTGGTTGATAACACGGACATTTTACCAACAAGACTAAGAGCAACTCTAGCAGACCCCGCAAAAATTCGACCCGCAAAATGTGTTTGCGGGTTCACGAAGTTCGCGTTTGCGGGTCGAAAACATGTGCCGCCGATCAGATACCGCATCTAAACCTGCATAATTTAAAAAAAAAACGCTTTCGTGGGAGAAATTGCACAAAGCTAGTTCATCACATCACATACTAAACATTTCATACATACTACATGATCAACAAACTAAGCATAGATCATACTACATGCTGCGTTAACTAGTAGTAGTGGGGGTCGGATCTGACAACGGCGAGGTCGCGGCAAAATGGACGACGCCGTGGAGGCCGAGCGACGCTCAATCCTCCTCGCCGGAGCTGCACAGGTCGATGTACTTCGCCGCCTGCTCCGCGCGGATGCGGCGCTACTCCTCGGCCTTGTCGTTCGCGGCGACCGCCTGCTGCCACTGGAGGGCCTCGAGCTCCTCGGCGTGGCGCCGGCGCTCCGCCTCCTCGCGCATGCTTCGCTTGGCGATGGCGACGGCGCCGAAGTCCGCGACGTAGTCCTCGGGCCCGACGACTCCGCGGCGGCCGAGCGGAGCGGGCTCCTCAGGCTCCTCCTTCACCGGGACGAAGGCGAACGGCGCCGGCGGCTCCGGCTCCTCCTCGTCGTCCGACCACTCCCTCTTCACGGGGAGGAAGCCCGCACCGAAGGATGAGGAGGATCCGGCGTAGGAAGCTCTCGCGGAGGAGAATGACGCGCTACGGCGGCCGTACTCCTCCGTCTCGCGACGGTTGAAGCTCGGCGGCGGCGACATCCCGCGGTTGGTCCACCTCCGGGCAACGCGCTTCCTTGCGCCGTTCGCCCGGACGCGCCGCTCACGGCCGGATCTGCTGCCGGAGCCGCGCCCGAAGCTCCAAGTTCGCCCCCACATGGCGGCTCGAGGCGCGGCGGGTGGTCGCCGGCGATGAGAAATTGCGAGAGGGAAAAGGGGAATCGGGTGTCTCACGGCGGCGGGGATAGGGTTTGGACCCGCAAAAAGATCCCGGAACCGCAGCCGGTGTGTGCGGTTTGCGGGCTGCGGCAAAAGTTTTTACGGGTCGAGCGAGTATGCGGGCTCTATTTTGGCCGGAAAATCGGGCCGAGCCCGCATACTCGCCTGAATTTTTGCGGGCCGGGCGTTTTGCAATGTCTGCTAAAGTTGCTCTAACATACGACCTGCTGGAGATGCCCTCACTGCCTCTCCCAATGATGTGGCCGGGTCGATGATCTGGCAGTTGTCGGAACGCATGCATGGTCCAACTATTTTGGTGTGAAATGGGATGGGCCCCGCTTCTAGTATTTCACACGTTTTATTGCGCGCGGACATGAGATGCGCGAGGTTCATGCGTGCACACCATTTGTTTCTTCTATCCTTTTCTAGTTTTTATGCCAAGAGAATGCGAGGTAAGAGCAACTCCAACGGGCCGACCCAAACGGATGATAATTTCATTCGCTTTTTGTCCATTTGGGTCGGTCAGACGGACACGGATGTCCGTTTTCGCATTTGGGTCGGCGTGTGCGTCCAACGTTGGCCTAAGAACCATTTTGACGGCGCCAAAAAAACGAACGCATGCATATTAAAAAAGAGAAACAACATTAATTAAACACTAAAACCGGCCACGAAGGCCGGCGAGAGTTCACACGTCCACATTTGCATTTAAAAAAAAACAACCTAAACTACGAGGCGGCGTGCTGCCCTAGGCGTCGTCGTCGTCGTCCTCGGGGTCCGTGAGGTCGATGAGCGTCGGCGCCGGCCCGGCCCAGGCGAACGCCGTCATGTCGGGCTGTGACGGCGCAGGCAGTGCCGGGGCGGGGGGAGGGGGGTGCAGCAGCCTGTGCAGCCACGGCCTGGCACGGCTCCTCCTCGGCCTCGCGCTGCTCCTCCTCGAGGTCGCGCTCGAGCATCTCCTCGTACTCGCCGTCAAGGCGCTCCTCTGCCAGCCGGCGCTGGCGTCACATCTCGAGGTATGTCTGCTCCTGCGCCGGCGTCACCCCCAGCCAAACCGGTGGCGCGGACACCCACTCGCGCACCACTCCATTCCAGGAGAAGCGCGTGATGGGCTCGGGCTCAGGCTCCGGCTGCGGCTCCGGCTTGATGGGGGACGGCGGGGCCATCGGCGGCACCACGCTGTCGCCCGTCCCGGAGAGGGCAAGGGCCTGCGCCATTGCCGCCTCGTACCGGGCCTCCTCTTCCACCTCCGTCGCCTCCGCTCTGCGCCGCTCGTCCTCCTCGCTCTCTCGGTAGACGGCCGCAAGGGCTGCCTGGTAGGCGTCCTCCGCCGCCTGGTCCTCCTCACGGACGACGAGCGGTGTTGGCGGCAACCTCCGGTTGACCTCGCGCACGCCCCGTCGCCTTGCCTCCTCGTGCTCGAAGGCGAACCACCTCGCCCAGTTGGGCGAGTCAGATGCGTAGGCCGGGTCGGCGCGCTGCTCCGGCGTCAGCAGCGCCCGCCGACGTCGCACCTCCTCCACGTGAGCACGAGCCGACCGCGGCGCCGCCGGCACTGGGATCCTATCTGGATCCAGATGCCAGTCGTGCGGCAACGTCACGTCCGGATACGGCAGAGGCTGGCGGTTCTGCCAGTGCCACTCCGCCTGGTGCACTGGCACGTTGACGCGCTGCCTCTGCCGGCGAGGCGCCGGCGCCGACGGAGGTGGGAGGAACTCGGAGGGGAAAGGGGTGGCGGGTGACTTGCCCTTGGCCTTGCTGCCGCTGGCGCCGGAGAAGAGGCCCATCTCGCTGTGGTTGTGGTGGCTAGGGTTTGTCGGCGACGAGGGAGCAAAGGTGGGCAGATATGGACGACGAGTTTGGATGAGGACGGCCCCGCCAGACGGTCGGCTTAAAAAAGGACGAGCGCCATCGCTGACGCGTGGGCCCGTCGTCATAAATTAAGCTGACCGCGTGGGCAGCGGGTAGTTGGACGGCTGCCATTTGGGCCGCAAATGCGTCGGCGCGGACGCGACGCGGACGTGATTTGAATTTGGGTCGACGCGTTGGGCCGTCACTTTTGTCCACGCCGACCCAAACGGACGCAGCCGGACCAAATGGGTCGGTCCTTTGGAATTGCTCTAAGTACGGAGCAATTAGATTGAACTTTGCGAACTGAGCTAGACTTTTCTTTTTGATTTATTCATTTTCAATCATGGCAGTACAACAAACATAAAAAATAATATAAAATATATCCAGATTCATAGACCACCTACCGACGACTAGAATCATTGAAATGAGCCGAAGGCGTGCCGTCGTCATCGCCCCTTCATCGCCAGAGTCGGGACCTTGAGTGACCAGTGTAGTTGCATTGAAAAGAAACAAAGGTGAAAAAAAACAGAGTTAGAGAAACCGTGAGTGACCATCCAACAGTCTGTAGACGGGAACTAAGCCTAATTATGATGTTAAGTTTTTTTGTGAAACCAGCCCATCCAGATTCGAGTCACAGACTTGGCATGAGTGATTGCATATTTTCTAAATTTATTTTAGGTTTGTTCACCTTATTTTTTTAGTGGTATGGTGTGCATCGTTCAATTTCTTGGAGGTGCCCATACCAATGGCGAACCGAAAAATAAAATGAAGGATGTGCACTCTGTAAAAAATTAAGGTTTGTTTTTATTGGGTCAGATGGGTCTTGAAAATCAGCTAATTATTACATGGCAAAAGTTTCTCAAACAAAAAAAGTATTACATGGTAAAAAAACATTTTCCAAAATTCTGGGGTGTGACATGGCACACGCGCTAGATACGCTGCTGGTCCATAGGGGTAAGGCTCATATACGTGCATTCATAGGGATTACTGTGTGGGCGTTGGCGTCTGTATTGTGTTTCTAGAAATACGTCAGCAACCCAGTGCACACCGCCAACAAAACGGTGGGTTTTTTTCTTTTTTGTTTTGAAAAAGAAATCAACATAAATGCCAGCATAAAATAAAATCAGATGGGGAATTTAAGCAATTCTGAATTGTTTGAGAATCAACAGATCCGCTTAAACATATTATTTTTTTCTTTTCCCCGCTTGTCTCTTAGTCTCAACAGAAGAGATATACTACCAGCGTATTTGTTTTCCCGGATTTGGCGGATGGCCCGACGGAACGGAGCGAGCGAAGAGAGCGCATCGTATCCTCGAGGAGTGGCAGGCAGGCATAGGATGCCGTGGCGAGAATCGTCGATTCGACGCAGCAGCCACGTAGGTCGCGATGTCGCTACTGCTGCTGGTGGTGCTGCTGGGGATTGTTCGCCTCGGATTCCCGTTCCCGTTCAGAAATTCAAACGAGTCGACCAGCAACGCGCGACCAAGTGATAGGGACGGAAGGGAAGGGGACGTGTACCTGACCAACCAGACCAGACGTATGACTATGATCTGACCCCCCGCTCTGACGGACCCACATCGGTGGATGGGCTCTGTCACCACGTCTGTCTTTCACTCACTCACGTCCTTCAGCCGCGGCCGGCGCCACGTGTTTTTCCTTCCTTATTATCTTGATGAGAGTGAGTGCGTGTCAGAGAACGAAACAACCAACGGAAAATGATTTGTTCAGGAGCGCCTGTGCTGCCACAGGTGCCTGAAAAAAAATGGTGTTCTTCCTCGCGCTGCCACATGTAGACGAGAAATTTGATCTTAACACCCCTGTATACACAGAATGGAGCTACTCCATCACAGCCTAGCCTCCCGGCCCCGCAGCTAGGACGCCGATGATCACCGCGTCGTTGGCGTCGCAGTCGGCGAGCAGGCTGCGGCGGCGACGTGCCTGAGCACCGCCTTGCCGGACTCCCGCGCGAAGTGCCTCTGCCGGAGGCGCACGTACGGGTAGCACAGCGCCGACAGCGGGTGCGCCGGCTTGGAGAAGGACACCACCTCGTACCACACCCGCTCCTCCGCGTCCACCTCCACCGAGAACCGCTCCTCCCCGGCCTGCATCCACGCAACCATGCCACCCAAACCATCATCATCAATTTGCTCCAACTTGATCCTCAACCCACACACACTCAATCACGCCAGAAACAGAATGCACCAGTTACCAGCAGATGGCCCTGCAGGGTGCCGCTGCCGAACGCGAACACGCCGCCGCCTTTCCCGCGCTTGCCACCATCGTACTTGTCGTCGGTGACGTAGGCGATCTGCAGCGGGAACATCACCCAGGGGACCACCTCCCTGTAGCAGATGCAGAACCTCGCGCCGGCCTTCACCGGCGTGCCCGGCTCCGCCTCCGCCCACCCCAGCGCCAGGTGCCTGACGGACAACGACCAACGGTTTCCAGCATTGCTGCAAACATATAGTACAACACTGGAGTTCAGAGCAGGCCAGGCTTACTTACTTCCAGGAGAGGAGGGCCGATTTGGCGTGGCGGAAGGCGTCGGCGCCGGAGCCGACAAGGACTCGCGACCGGTTCACGGAGAAGCCACGGTCGGCCAGCGCCCTGTCGGTGTCTTCAGAGGTTGTTAATGCGGCTGGTGATTTCGGGTGGGTGGCGCCGTGGAGATCCGCGTCGTAGTTGAAGCCGCCGGCAGCCGCGAGGCACGACTTCTGCTGCTCCGGTGTCGGGCGGCTCAGGCTCAAGAAGAGGCCTCCCCATGCCATGGTTTCTACAGAGAGTGGTGTGAGGCTGTGAGGGCAATTTCAGTTGCAGTGGATTAGCTACACTGCTGGATTCAGTTAATCCACAAAAAACACGCTTACATATATACTCCCTCTGTAAACAAATATAAGACGCTTTAGATCACTACTTTAGTGATCTAAAACATCTTCTATTTGTTTACAGAGGGAGCACTTCACTTATGTACTGGAGCACAACCAACTATTTCTTTTTCGAATTTCTAGAACACCACCAAACACAGCTGTTCAAAATTCAGAAAAAGTAAAGATCCAAACCAAATACAGTTGTTCATAATTCTGAATTTTCTATTCAAATAAAACACACTGCATTATTCAGAGTTACCACCTACGTCTACAACATTATTCAGAGGATTATGGATTGCTGATACCAAATTTTAATAATGGATACTCTGGATATGTAAATCCTGCATCGGCTATGGGTTGCTGATTCTATGAAAATCTTCATCTAGAGCTGTGTGGTTAATTCTATGCATATGGATACTCAACACAAAACAGTAATTCTGCTTCTGTATACTGATCGCACCCAAGCCCAGCTGGGCAAGCTTAATCACCAAGCAGAGCTCATAATATAACTCATGCAGCCAAAGAAACTCAGAAAATAGCTGGAATGATGGTGATTGGGCTTACGGGCACGTCATAAGATGCTCATGATTGGCCTCTTGTACGGGACTACAATAACATGCTAGACAGAATTAGTAGATTTTTACTTCTAATTTAACCATTTTAGGTGCCAGTTAACAGATGGATAATCCCGCTCCCTTAATCTGGACTATAACAAACAATCTTATTAGAGCTGCAATGGGGAAAAACATTCGCATGGCGTATGAATTCCAGATGATGCATTTTACGTATAATTCAACGTCGCCTTTCATATAATCAACAAAGTGCTATAAGCACAAGCCAAGAATTATAGCAAAGTTCATCAACTATCAACCTCTATTAACACAGTTGTGCCCATTCAAAATATCACTAATAGTAAGTTGTGTCCATTCAAAATATCACTAATAGCAAGTAGTATTACACAGTCTTTGGCAGCACAATATGGGGAAGAAAAAATAAATCCTGAGCCAACACTCAAGTATGCTAGCTAGGTTCTGAACTTAGTGCTGAAGTTATATTCTGACACATTGCACGGAGGCGATGTTACGAGTACGAGCAGGAGGAAACTGAATATCCTGAACTAAACTCTACCCTGAACTGTGACAGACAGAACAACCCCACGAGTACGAATAGTCTATAGATGAAGACCTTTGTTTTACCATGTAAATAAATCTCTGAACAAAAGCTTGAGGTCTGACTGAGAGCACCCAGTTAGCTGCTACAACCAAGTTCTGTTATGCTACATGATGAAGGAGAATGCTCCATTACCAATCTGCCCCACATCGGTCAGCTCAAATACACTCCAGCCAGTACTAAATGGAAACCGAGGAGCGGCGAAGTTCAAGCCACAGCTAATCTGACCCACCCTACGATTTAGTTGCTCATGCTCTGTTTTTCTACTAATAAATTCAGAAACAGAACAGTATTGCTACTTCAAGGCTAAATACTACTCATGGCCTGATCATGTGAAACCTACTGTATCAATTCCGAGATGGATTGAAAACTGCCGGGTTATTCGGGTAGTTCTTCCTCTGGTGGGTCCTAAAATTGCTGGAGATTCCTGGCATCGGACGGTACGGAGATGGGGGCGGTGAGGGCGGAGGAGTGGAGGGGGGGCTGGGCTGGAGAGGGCATACAAACCTGGGAACTCAAGGGAACGGAAGGCCGATACGGCGACCGGCCGACGAGTGCTGCGGCGGCTGCGGCGACCGGCCGGTAAGGGGAACCGTGGCGAGGTCTCACAGCCTCTCAGTAGCAGCCTGCACTGGACGGGGACGGGGGATACCTCGATCTGAGAGGCCGGCCGTGTGAGTTGTCGTAGGCCCAGCTACCGGCCCAGGTCCATTCCAGTTGGACCAACCCAACACATTTCTACGATTCCCAATTTTTCAAGAATAACCAACTTTTGCTTTCCCTCCAAAAAAAACCCAACTTTTGCTGCTTCCCCCAAAAAAACCTTTGCTGCAAAACTTTATTGGTCGTGATTTTAGTTTCGATTTTGAGGTGTGTGGATGAACTACGAAGCACATAACCCTCCTGGTAATTACTGTCTGAGCCCAGGCTCATTTGTACACTGTGAACAATAAAATTAAGATTTTTTCCCCATCAAAGATGCTTAATGCACTAGCTGCGTACACATTTTCAGAGCGAAATGACTATTGAGGAGCTCTTGAAAAAAAAAGGTCTCCGAATGGTGTTATTTTTCAAAGTTTCTATGAGACCCACAATTTATTTTTCTTGAGCTCCTCGAATGTCATTTCACCATGAATTTTTGCATGCAACTAGTGCATTTGAGCATCTTTTATGTAAAAAAAAATCAGATTTTTCCAAATTTGTTTGCTATCTTATTTGAATTTACTGTTTACTTTCAGGGGCATATTGGCACCGAATTGCGGCACTCATAACCTTGCCAAGTTTTGTCTCGTTGATTAGGGTTGCTATATGTGGCCTCATTACTCCTATGACCATCTCTTCTGATCAATAAAGCTTGATGAATTGCTAAAAGAAGAACCCAATTTTGCTGCAACTTGAGTGGATGACTCCACCCCTATACGAAAACATCCCTCTCAAATCTTTGAGGTGCGGCGGATCCCGGCCCCCATCAGTGGGAGGGCTCCCACTCCTTTTTTTTACCGGCAGGAGGATTCTACTTTATTTATTTATTAGGTTTTGTGTCTGTTTCAGACAGCGAGATGGTTGCGTCCTAGAGTTCGAATAAGGTCCTTTTCTGCTTTGTCCCCGCTTAGGTGGTGCCTCAAGTGCCGACGAGGGACGCGTGAAGGTTGTGTTCGACCGGGTTTGTTTGGATCCTGTGGCGTGTGCTGGTGCAGCCGGTGCAGCCCGCTGTGTTGAGGCTCGTGAAATTCCGATCTACCTCTAAAAGTACATTTATCTCTAAGATGTACACGCCATGTTTT